TTAAAATGCTCAGTTTCTTTACATTTTTCAGTTTAGAGACACTGTTATAGCATTCATAGTAGTCAACATTATGTTCTTTTTGTCTTTTTCTTTTACACATCTACTAACCACCATTATACATTGCTCAGTCTTATCCACGATGTTATGCATTCCACTAATTTCCTTTCTTGTTGCATCTACAACTTGTCATTGGGATCCTAGTGTGTTGTACTCATTCTTCAGCTATCAGCATAGATAATGGAGTCTGGACTAAATTTAAAATCCATCATACTGTATGAAAAGAATGTGGAGGTAGATGGTACTACTTTTTATAAGAAGTGTGAAAATACAAAAGTCCCAAGATTCCTTAAACTTCTCTTTTTACATGTAGAATGAAAATGCCCATTGTACATGCATGTATGTATGTATGTATTCTTTCTTTCTTTCACCATATCTATTGGATGATTGCTGTATGTCAGTCACTATTTCAGAGTCATGGAATACACTCTTGAGGGGATAATTTAAAAAATTTAAAGATCTAGGGAGACTCTCTGTGTGTCAGATAGTTATAAGTGCTACAGAAAAGAGTGAAGCTTTTCTGTAGGGACAAGAATGTTGGCTGGTGTGTGGTGTGATGAGGGAAGTTGTTCTAAGTACTGAAAAATAAAGGTTAGGTAGCAAAAATCTAAGATTTTATGCTCCATAAGGACTAGTACCATGACTTTCTCCATGAATATTCACCAATGTCAGTGTTTGAGACAAAGTGAACGTTACTTAAATATTTGCTTTAAACTAAAAGATAATTTATGTAAAAGTGCCTCTTAATCTCTAAAATATTAAACAAATAAAGGTTTTTTATTCCAAATTCAAACTCATAAAGCTGTTTGGACTAAAGACTATTTTTTCAGGGTGGTGTCTGTTTGTTTTTTTTCCAGTTTCCTGAACTAGGAAAAGAGGGAACAATAAAATATGCAAACAAAAATAAAATATGGCAATAACATGCCTTATAGTGTGATTAAGAGATATCTAGAAAAGCCCCTGGATTTTGGAAAAGGGGAGGGGAAGTTTATTACATCTATTTGTTTTTCCTGCAGTTCCCTGATTAACTGTTGCTGAGTAACTCAGCTTGTATTTATAGGATATGTATAGCAAGAAAGCAGAATTAACACTAAATGTTATCAGGAGTTCCTTTGACCCTGAGAGTCTCTGTACTCAACTAGCGTATACTTAACACCGCCAAGCCATGCTTGTGGAATAAAAATAAAGGCAAATATATTTTAATGAAACATAAATCTAAATATAAGACCCTTAGTCTGTGGCTAGAGTAATTGAAGTTTCAAAAAAACAATATGAATTACAATCCAGAAGCTAAGATATAGCAAATAAATATTCCCTGAGGCTTAATGTTACCCTATTTCAGCTTTACCTAATTCTAGAGTTAAATGTACAGTTTTAAGAACTCATGGATCAAACTCAAGACCAGCACATTCCTGGTGGTTTACAAAAGGAATAAATGGAATATTTTTATAATTAAGCCAATTAGCTAAGACCTAGAGAATATGGTATCTCTGACAAAGCAAGCTAATTGTTACATTTCATACCTTCTTAAAGTGTCTGTTAATTGAACAAGAAAATGTTTACAAGAATTATAAGTGCTTCCAAATGTCCATCCATCTTCATTTACATATTTGATTTAATTTAACTGTAAATTTTCAGAAGTTAGCTACATGGTTATTAAGAGAACAGAGTCATGCTTTATTGAAAAGATGCCATTCGAACCATAACCTCCACACTCTTCTTTCTGTCACTTGGGCACAATTATTTTTCAATGTTTCTGTATATTTTAGGGGGAAAAAACAACACTAAAGTAAGGCAGTGTCAGAAAAAAAACTGAAAAAGAGGAGATAGATGAGAAGAAAACCTCATGACATGGTAGGTGAGTAGATGTGGGCAATAGAAGAGAGGGAAAGTCAAACATTCTCAGGCTGTGGTGGCAGACTGGGGTGATCAATATTAGGAAGAGTGAGGAGTCCACTTTGGCTGAAACAAAGTTACTCAAACAGAAACAGAAGTGGATAAATGGTAGAATAATTATCTGAAATTACTCTACTTATGATTGGGAATCAATGAATAGTATAACTGAGATAAGAAACTCAGTGCCAAAAATGGGTCTGGGAATTTTAAATATTTGATTACTTAATTTTTAGAACATTATTGAATTTGACTTTTAGTTAAAGTGGGATATTTTATTAAGGATTGGGTTTTGGTGAAAATACTCAAATCATGCTAAGTTTGAGTTTTTAAAATCAGCAATGCCTTTCATGCTTGTTTTGTTTATTCTTTACACCTCTTCTCCAAATAGTTTGAGGTGTGTATGGAAAGAAATTTTAAAATAAAAGATTATTTTATGTGAATCAACAAAGAATTCAGAGTGAAGGAGATAACAGGAAGAAAAATATATGTATACAAGATGTGCTAATTAGAAAATGAATAAGCAAAATATCTTCCATGAGATCCTATGTAATTACTATATTGAATAGTAAAGTCTAACACTATCAAGTGAAAAAAGAATAGAAATAAGATAATTAAGAAGACAAATGCCTAATAGTTTCAGAAGAAGAGTAGCTTTTCTGGCCCTGAAGTTTTAACAAAAATATATAAGAACTACCTAGTGACAAAGTAGATAGGAACCTCACCAATATTTTTCTAGTAAGCATAGCAGTTAGCTTTCTATGGTTGTTCTTATAAATACTTTCATTTAAGCTAAAAGGACAATTAAAAATCCATTTTTTAAAGTTAAATGTGTGGGAGATCTGGATGTCACACGAAGGCAGCAGCAGCCTCACTTATCTGTATCATCAGTGTGAGCAGACAGGCAATTTTTTACTATTTTATTTATTAACTAGAGGCCTGGAGCATGAAATTCATGCACGGGTACAGTCCCTAGACCTTGCCTGTGATCAGGGCCATCTTCCCTGGCTACCTGCAGCTGACCCCACCTCCCACCATCACCCACCCCAGTTTTCTGTTCACCATTGGAGCCTGCTGGCTGGGGAAAAGGACCGAGAGGTGGTCAGTGCACCTCATAGTGACTGGTCGAGAGGTAGTTCTGGTTGTGCTGCCGTTAAGGTCAATTTTCATATCATCCTTTTTATTATATAGGATAGAGGCCTGGTGCCAGCGTGAGGGCTGACTGGCCTTCCCTGATAGGGGCCCCCAGATCAGATTGGGGGTCCCTGCTCGGGGGCAAGGCCAGCAGGGGCAAGGGATCACCCACCCCCCGATCAGGGAGGGGGTCCCTGCTAGGGGGTGAGGGGCTGAGGGTGGTTTGCAGGCTGGCCACACCCCTGATTTGGGTGGGGGTCCCCGCTGGGGGGAGGCCAGCCAGGGCAGGGGCCGCAGGTGGTTTGCAGACCGGCTATGCCCCTGACTGGGGTGAAGGTCCCCGCTGGGGGCTGGGGCCAGCCAGGGCAAGGGGCCCAGGGTGGTTTGCAGGCTGGCCATGCCCCTGATCGGGGTGGGCTCCCGGCTGGAGAGTGGGGCCAGCCAGGGCGAGGGGTCGCGGTGGTTCTGGTCTCTGGTCGTTCTGGTCTTTCTGCCGTTTCGGTCACTGGCCTTTTATTATAGAGGATTCTACTTCTTGTTCCAAAAATGACTAAAGAATGAGACAGATTAAGTAAACTGCTCATATGCTAGACATTATAAGACTTCAATACATTTAAATCAAACTAAGTGATTTTTTGAGAAATAATTAACATTAAAATTTTGTTATGATAAAAGTTAAATGCGTGGAATAAATATTATGACTAGAGGCCTGGTGAACAAAATTCATGCACTGGGGATGGGGGTGTCCCTTAGCCTGGCCTGTGCCCTCTCATAGTCCGGGACCCCTCCCTCCTTACCACCCACCTGCTTACTGCTTCCTACTGCTCGGCTTGCTGCTCCTTAGTGCTGCCATGAAGGCTCCCACCACCGCCGCTGCACTTGCCAGCTGTGAGCCCCGCTTCTGGCTGAGTGGCACTCCCCCTGTGGGAACACACTGACCACCAGGGGGCAGCTCCTACGTTGAGCGTCTGTCCCTTGGTGGTCAGTTCATAGCCACCAGTCATTCCTCCATTTGGTCAATTTGCATATGAGGGTTTTATTATATAAGATGTAAAGGACACTAGAAATACATTTCTTCTCTAAAAAAATATCTCTTCAAGTATAGCACCACTGTGCTTAATATTACATTATTTCATAGAATTAGGATTTTTCCATTCCTGGAAATTCGCTTGAAAGTGCAAACATTAATGAAAGGTAATAACACATCAAGTCACTAACTCTGCATTATTTCACTTTATTTGATGTTGTCCTTTGATGCCTAAACCTAAGAAATATGATGTCTGCCTCATGTGGAATCCTTGAATTTCTGAAGAATTTTATTTGAGAAAAATGCAAGTATTTGGTTGAATTCTAGGTCATAATTAGAAATGGCTCCTTCTAACATAAGACCATGAAATATCCAACTAAACCCATATTTGATCAAGTGATATTAGCTTTTTCTCCTCACAATAGGATAGGCTATATATTTACTGGTGTTTTGCCCCCGAATTCTCATCAGAAAGTAGTTTATTTTAACAATGTGATCCAGACTTTGTTAGGGTTAAGATCAAGCATGAACTTTTGTTCTTTGAAAGGATACACATGATGGGATATCCCTCCATTTAGAGTTGAAGATAAGGAAATGAGAAACAAATGCTGCTATCTACTCCTTTCAACAAGTTATTATTATTTTTGTGTTTTTATGTTCAAGGTCCATGTATCTCTAAGCAGCTATGAAAGGGCTTCCTGGAAAGAAAAAAACAAAACAAAAAAATGGAAAGAAAAAAAAACACAAAAACCCACACATCCCCAACTCATGGCTCCACCTTATGAGAGAGAGGAGGATCACAGACTGACAGACACTGAAATAACAAAAGTGGACACTACATTTTGCAAAGTCATTGGACCCTGAGCTCACTTGCAGTGCAAAGGAAACCATGCAGGATGAAGATGGATACATCACCTTAAATATTAAAACTCGCAAGCCAGCTCTCACCTCAGGTAAGAATAACCAGAGCAAGCCACTTGAAAATTAATTATATAAATGGGTCAACTCTAGCTTTCTTTTCTTTTTTTTTTTAACTAGTATAGCATGTATGGTTTTATTTTCCTGAATGGCCTTATTTTCCTATAGCATTTGAATACTATCCACTTAGATTCAGATAGACTTGTTTAGGCAGCAAACAAGAAAAGATACAAGCAAGCAACATTACTTTATGCTTACAGAGGTTAATGCCAGAGGGACTAGAAACCATGAGGGTAAAGGAAGGGAATGTTTGAAAACCCCATTTTTTTAACATGTCAGCAAATGGGTGTGATTCTCTAGGTCTTGCTCATTAAAGCAGTTACTTATGGGGATGACCACAAAACAAAACAAAACAAACACACAGAGTGTAAGTTATATTTAGACTCAGAGAGACGTGCTCTGAGGTCGGGAATGGAGGTATGGAGTGGGGGTGTGCTGTGCTGACTGTTGGTGATCACCAAGGGAACATGGCAAGATCTTCCCATGATGCTGTTTACATCACTGAAAAAAATCCAGAGAGGGCAGGGCCAGGAGTGTCGCTGCCCCATAACCATGCCCACACCTGTTCCCTGACATCTTTATTGTATGCCCACAGTTGACCCTGCTTCCTCGTCATTGTGGCGGGTAATGGCTTTGATTCTGCTGGTCTTGTGCATTGGGCTGGTTGTTGGACTCGTGGCTCTGGGGATTATGTGTAAGTGTTGACTCATTCAATGATTGCATCTGAGAAGGCAATGCCTGAGGGTCCTGGCGTATGCCACTGAGCTTAACTGTCCGTATTTGTCTATTTATCACTACTCCAGTTATTCTAGCCACAGCTGCCATGATATTCTCATGAAAAGGGAACTCTGAACTTTCTCTCCTGATTAAAATCATCTTTAGATTTCTTATGAGTTAAAACTTATTTTCAAGAATTTTAGACCGATTCTTAAGTTTCTCCTCAGTGTATATCCACGCTATCTTTTGAAACTGTTTTCCGTTCTCCTGCATATCTTAAGATCCTGCCAACAAGGACTTTTCTCCACTTCACAAATAAACCCTGTCCCTCACCTGAGATTTTGTTCATTCTATTCCCTCTATTTTCCCTATAAATCTAAAAGCCCTCCAATGCCATGTTATTATCTGTGTAGTTGTTTGTTTGTGTTCCTGCTTATTTTTTCATAAGATTATTTTAGAATCTTCCATTCAACATTTTTTATTTACCTGAATATCCCAGTACTTTTAGCATAAAATAAATTAATATGCATTTTTAAATAAATGGATATTTTGGTAATACATGAAAAACAAAACAGAGTTTATTTGCCTACATGAAATCCACTTAGAAATCTGTATTTAAGGAAATTTTCAAAACAACTGCTGTGGGAATGCGAATTGATCATGGCATTTTCTTATTTGTTATTATTTTCTTCAAATAGTTCACTTATTATCTGAATAACCCTGTCAGTTTTTCTTAGTTCTTAATTTGTTCTTTACACCCTTCCCTTTTGCCTTGATCTCTTTTCAGCACTCATTTATTCATGTGTATCTAATACAGTGATTTTCAACTGGTGTGCTACAAGAATGTTTAAAACATGCAATACCTGACTACTTAGTCAGGGCCACTGACTTCCCTTAGATTGTCAAATTAAAAAAAAATGACAACATCACACAACAATAACCATCCAGTGTGAATGAATCAAAATTATACCCTTTTTGTTTGTCAGATTAGCAAAAAAAAAATGTATGTACCTCAGTTTTAGTAATTACTTTATGTGTGCCATGAGATGAAAAAGGTTGAAAACAACTGGTCTAGTAAACACTTCATAGATTGATAACCCTAGTGAAATTAGTTTATTGAAAGATCCTTGCATTATCTTTATTCTCCTTATTACAAAGTATTAACTAATTTTTACATCTAGCTGTCACACAACAAAACTATCTACAAATTGAGAATAAAAATTTCTCAGGAATTCTGCAACAATTATTAGCAAACCAGTTCTGCCAAGATTTAATGAAACCATCAGAACAGAAGGACAGTTTCAGTAAGTATGATTTGGTAACTTCATCTCTCCTACCCTAGAGTATTTCTGTAATGCTCTCTGTAGGAAACACTGAATTTATAGGAAAAGTAAGTCCTACTTAGAATAAAAGGATTCCTAAGCTTGATTTCTCCTTAAGGCCATAAGGAAAGCCCATGTGACAAAAATTGGAGATATTATGAAGGTAATTGCTATGGATTCTTCAGGCACAACCTGACTTGGGAAGAGAGTAAGCAGTACTGTGCCAACATGAATGCCACTCTGCTGAAGATTGCCAGCCAGAACATTCTGGTAAGGAGATTCCCATGCCAAATATTTTAAAATCCTAAGGAGAAAAATCTGAAGTGAAAAAATTGACTTAAAAAAACACACACACAAAATTTTTTTCTCTGGTTTGTGAAACTCTGAGAATTTTATCAAGCTCAGTAAATATCAGCATGTTTTGTTTTGTTTTTTTTAATTTTCATTCTCTAACAAGTGAACTTTGTACAATTCTAAATATCAAATATAATTAAGTGATATTAACATAGAATATAATCTAACTTTCTTGCGGTCCAGGGTGTTATAACAAAGCTTTGTCTTTGTGCCTTTAAAGAACTGTGGAGTTAGTTGCCTCTCGTAGGCACTGAGACCCGGCATAGAACCTGCAGCCTGGGCATGTGCCCTGACTGGGAATCGAACCCATGACCCTTCCGTGCACAGGACAAAGGCCCAACCAACTGAGCCACGCTGGCCAGGGCAGCCCATGGAAGTTTCAAAGGCCCATTGCTTAGAATAGTGCCTGGCCCATGGGAATGGCCCGGTGCCTGCTGCCTCTTGGGGATGTTGGCCTTCCGGGTAAAACCCACTCCCAAGGTCTGAGGGACCCTGAAGACCACCTTGGAGGCAGAAGAATTCCACTGGGTCAGGAGTCTTGAAACTCTGAGTCAGTTGTAAGGGCTCTGAATTCATTAAAAGGGAAACTGAGGCCCCTAAAAGTGGGACTCATCCAGCACCCTCTGAACCATGGAGGCCAACACGAGCAGGGGACCCCACACCAGACCCCCAGGAAGCAGGCAGAAGCAGGAGAGTCAGGTGAGACTCTGTTTCCCTGCCCCGCTGTGTGACTTGGGACAGCCAGACCACCTCTCTGAGTCTGCAGCCCCAGCAAGGAAGCTCTGTGCTCCAGGCTGCTCAGGCCCAGACGGGCTCTGGACTCACCCCTCCGGAGCCCCCGACCGTGGAGCCACCAGGCCTTCCTGTTTACTGGAGGCCCCTCTGGAGGCTGGGAGGCGACAGCCTTGGCCTCTTCTGCTCCCCACTTCCTTCCTCTCCCACTTCAGCGCCTCCGCCAGGCCCTCAGGGCCCCCAAGGCCAAGACTTAGGAGCACAATCCAGTGGGGGAAGCTGAGGCCACCTCCCCAGAAGGCCTACCCAGGAGCACGTGCTCTCTCTCTGGGACCCTGAGGTTTCAGAGGCGCTGGGCCATCCCTCTGGCACCTTGCCATTTCCTGGAGTGTCGCTGGAGGCATGAAGACTATGACAGCATCGACTGTCCTGGATATGACACCATGCCCACCTCTCAGCCCAGCAGTAGGGGAGGAGCACATGCTGACCTTGGAGGTGTCCCCTCCTCCCCATCCTTCCTCTCTCTCCTCTCTGAGCTCCCCAATGTGGGCCTCCGACCAGCAGTCCAGCCAGGCCTCACTACCCAGATAAACCTGCTGAATGAATCAGAAGCAGCTTTTTAGCGAGACCCTGGGGAGATTCGTGTGCACTTAAAGCCAGATGCTGCCCATCAGCCCATCCTGCCTGGTTTTAAAACATATTCGGTGTCCTTGTCCCAAAGGCTTGCCCTGAACGTCTGAAGCCCGTACACTAACTCCTGTACACTAACTTCAGTGTACAGGAAATTCAGGGAGTGGAGGAACAAGTCCAGCAACACCACAAGGAAGCAACAGACACATCTGCAGGACAACGGGTCCCTTCACAGGTCAATGTCATAAAAAGAAGGGGCGAGTCAGAGGTTCAAGTTTGACGGACAGCTCAAGTGCAACGTGTGGTCCTGGATTGCCTCCCAGTTTTTAACAAAGACATTTTGGGGGGAAATTACATGATATTATTGTTAACTTAGTGTCCTCGAAACTCTGAGTTGCAGCTATATAGCAAAATGTCCTTATTTATTAGAGTCATACTGAAGTCACACTTTAGGAGTGAACTTTGTTCATATCTGCAATTTACTTTAAAATAGTTTGACAGCAATAAAACAGCAGTGAAGGAAGTATGGAAAAATGCTAACAATTACTAAATGTTGGTGATGGTATATGAGTGTTCATGATATTATTTCCTCTAATTTTGTTTGTTTGAAAATTTTTACTAAAAACAAAACTTTCTGGGCCTTCCATTGCCCTTTGGGGAAAGACTAGATACCTGGGTTGGCATTCAAGGCCCTGCAAGCATGGCTTCTATCACCCACCAAGCTTGTCTCCAGCTAGGACACCTCCTCTAGCCTGCCTTCCAGCCCCCACTAATGCCTCAGCCCTCCCTTCACTCACCGGGTCCTCTCCACCTCTCCAGCTCTGCAGAGCTGTTCCCTCTGTCCTTTCATGCTCTCTGCCTCGTGGTGAAGTGAACTCCTAGGTGTCTTTAGGGCCCCACTCCAGAGCTCCAGGTCAAGGAACCCTCTGCCACCAGGGGCCCCTCTGAGCTCTGTGCACTGAGCTGCCCAGAACTGGTCTCAGGTGATTGGGCCTGATGGAGTGTTGCGAGCATGGGTCCCCTCCTGGTGCCGGGAGTCACAGCCCAGTGGGCCAGGGCTTATAAGCCTCCATGGCAGGTGCTGGAGTGCTGCTGAAGGAACAAACGTGCATGAAGGAAACCCTCAAAGGAAGGTTAATAGGGGCAAAAGTTTGGTAGTGGTTACTAGAACTTTTAAAATTTTTGTTTGTTTTCTTTAAGTTTTCAAGCCTTTTTTTATGAACAAAGTGATTCTATGGTGAAGAATTTGGGTCAGCTTAGGTTTTCATAAATTGGCACACACCTGAATTCAGGAAGCTGTAATAAGAAAATAAAGATAATGGTGAAAAATAAAAGAACTGTGTAAGCTTTCTGACCATTATTTTTATCTGTGTTTGCAATAGGAATATATCAAATCCAGGACTGGATTAATTCGTTGGGTAGGACTGTCCCGCCAGAATGCCAATAAAGTCTGGAAGTGGGAAGATGGCTCAGTTCCCTCCAAAAATATGTAAGTCACTGGGCACTCAGAATACAGCAATTTTTATTTCCAAGACACTCAATCCACTTGGGTACAAGTGACTTATAAGTTGGATAAGTTGGGAGGTAGTTCTATACCTTACTGTGGGTTATGTAAGCAGAAGCTGAGTAATTTACACCCTAATCCTAACAAGAGAACACTGGTAGTAAGACAATCCTGCTTTTTGTATCATCCCATTCCTCTGTTCTTTATCTAAGTCACAATCCACCTCTATTCCCAATGTTTTTTCTCATTCATTTCTACTGACCACTTTACTATTAGAATAGTTTACGTCTTTTTTTAGCTTAATCTAATTTTCTTCATATATTTTTAAAAGAAAATTATCCTTATTATTTTGTGGCTGAAAGTTATTCATGGATCCTTTTGACTTTTCTGTAGCATGTACCTACTCTTGCACCCTAGGGGTCTCCAGGAATCAGACTCATCATCGTTCACAAGGTGGTTCTGATGTCCTGGTCATAAGGCTCCACCTGTCTGCAAATAATCCAGTCAAAGGAGCCATTTACATTGAGTTCCTTCATGTGGCTTTCCAACCTTCAGTCTCAACACCTTTTTTTATCTTGTATATCAAAACTGCAATGTCTCTCCCGTTAAAAGTTAAACTCATTAACCAAAATTTATACAATCTGATTATTACTCACATTTTTAATTAGTTTATCTACAAATATTTATTAAGTATCTTCTATGAGTAGGAGACAAGGATATTTCAACTGCAAGCAAGTCTTTCCATAGACCTTGATCTCCTATAACTTGCTGTCTCAATCAAAATATTGCAAGCAAACTGGTGTTCCCTCTGTTCTTTCAACAAATCAGAATACCCCAACTATTAAGCAAGTTCCCCAGTAGAACAGACCTTGTCTCTTTAACCACTCTGTCATCAACACGAAAAACAAACAAACGTTGGCACATAGTAGGCATCCTATAAATATTTGACAAATGAATTAATAAATGTGCATGTTGTCCTCCTCTCATAAGCAGTGTAGCAGAGAATATAAACAAGTTAATACAATATAATGTGCTGGCTTATATCTGCTATCTTATACTAGTAACGTAAACCTTTATTACAAAAATATTTAATCAACTTACTTTTCCATGAGCTCATTTCCATTCTGTGCAGCTAATTGCTGTCTGAAGCTCATCTAAATCCTACCCTTCCTTCAAGACAAAACTAAGGTATTATCTTCTGTAAAAGGTAAAAAGATAAAGCTTTTCCAATTGCTTCAGATTCCCAGCCCTCTCTTTCTCTGGACTAATCTGTAACTACTGTTCACTTGCTGTTTAATCTTATTCTATTTTAAATCATTATTGACCTATTCAAATGGACAACTTTATACTCCCAAGCAGATTGGCAGTCTCTCAGTGATCTGAATGTTGTTTGTAACTTTCTTTTCCCACAATTTTATCTCCACTTTATGTAACAAAATTGTACACAGGGTTTTATTGCTGATTGTTTGGCTTTCAAAGGAACTCATGTCTACTTTTTTCATTCACAGGTTTGAGCTTTCTGAAAATGCAAAAGAAAATATGAATTGTGCTTATTTTCATAATGGGAAAATTCACCCTAGCTTCTGCAAGAACAAACATTATTTAATGTGTGATAAAAAGGCAGGCATGGCAAAGGTGGCCAAACTACTTTAATGCAAAGAGATGGGGAGGTTGTCAAGGACAAATGCTTGATTGTATAATAAAAGATCTGGATGAAAGAATCACTAGCCAAAAAATTACTTATTTCTCCCTTTATTCCCCTTGGAGTCATTATGTTTCCTACCAGCACCACATAGTCCCCTCTTTATATATCTCTTTATACGAAGGGATAACTTGGTCCCTTCTTTGTACATCCAGAAGCTAGTCTGTGAGTTGATCTTTTGTTTCCAATTGTGCTTTTTCTATTAATTTCCGTCTCCTTGTCTTCCATTCTTAATTATCTCAACATTGTATTATTCACTGTATCTTCAGACCTAAACACACATATATTTTCAATTGGAACAAGAAAGGTTTGGACTTAGTTGACTTAAGCTATGCAAAATATTTAAGTTTCAGAACCATATAAAATACCCAAGTTTGAAAGACAGCACAAGGCAGTGGGAAAAATATGAATCTTGGAATCAGAACAATAATTTAGATGGTGTGATTATCTCAAGTACAACCATGGGCCAATTATGTAGTCTCTTTAACTTCCATTTTCTCATATTCAAAACTAGAGGCCTGGTGCATGAAATTTCGTGCACTGTGGGGGGGTAGGGTTCCCTCAGCTCGGCCTGCATCATCTCACAGCCTGGGACCCCTCTCTCCTTACCACCCACCTGCAGTGGAGGTGGGAGAGGCTCCTGCCACCACCGCTGCACTCGCCAGCCAGGAGCCTGGCTTCTGGCTGAGTGGTGCCCCCCTGTGGGAATGCACTGACAACCAGGGGACAGCTCCTGCTTTGAGCGTCTGCCCCCTGCTGGTCAGTGCGCATCATAGTGACCAGTTGATCTGCTGTTCAGTCAATTTGCATATTGGGTTTTAGTATATAGGATAGGACAGTGGTCAGCAAAATGCGGCTCGCAAGCCACATGCAGCTCTTTGGCCCCTTGAGTGTGGCTCTTCCAAAAAATACTGACTTATGCACATGGACCACAAAGTTTCAATCGCACTGTATGTGCGCGCCCGCACGTGGTATTTTGTGGAAGAGCCACACTCAAGGGGCCAAAGAGCCGCGTGTGGCTTGTGAGCCGCAGTTTGCCGACCACGGGGATAGGATAATACCTAGCTTATATACCTCACAGTTCTACAACATAGCATAAAACTTCAGAGTATTAACTATATCAGAAACTCCATACACCTTGGATTTCCTGTTTGCTATTCTATGCCCAGCACCAAGCACAGTTTCTGCCTCACGAGAAACAGAAAAAAATAGGACTTCTCATTGTGTATAGTTCATTACAAAGCCTCACATTCAGTAAGACACTATGCAAATATAATTTCTATTCTAAATCTACCTCTTGTAAAACTCAACAGCAGTAATTTTCTGTGCAAAGAAGGAAAAGAAAGTTTGCAAGAAACCTGATGGAGTTTAAAAATGAATAAATGCTTCTTATCAAGGCCATAGGCTAGGAGACAGATCAGCAAGTAAAAATACTTTATCTAGTTCTTTTCCTGACAGTTCTATGCTGAGTAACTCATGAAATATTTATAGACATGTGGAGAGGCACCCTTTAAAGGGATAACAGGCAAAAATTGCATTTCCTTGCCACAGCTTCCCTGAAGGTACACTTTCTTCTTAAATTAGTGCTAATAACATTTATAAACATGATTCTCAAACTTCTCAACTGAGGTGTTTGTGAAAACACTAGATGTTCAAATACAAATAGTTATGCTGAAAGGCTAAGGAGACAGCCCTCTGTTTTTAATAAGCTCCCTTAATTGATTCTGATATGTCATCTTCAATAGATTTCAACTAATATTACTTTAGAACTCAATCCCTATGTGGCTTTTGTAAGTTACTTAGTCTCTTTCAAACTCAGCTTTTTTTGTGTGTCTATAAAATTAGTTTAATAGTATTACCTTACTCATAAGGTAATTGTGAGATTATTAATGTGATTATATAAAGCATCAAGCAGAGTACCAAGCATGTAATGAACACTCAATAAATGTGTATTACTTTTATAGCTTTGTATACGATCTAAAAATCAGTCATATCTCTGGACTTTAATGTTTTATCTCCCCCAAATGAAAATATGTATATATTTATATATCACTATGGTACAACAAAATTTCAAAGACTTAGTGCAGTGGTTCTCAACCTTGGCTGCACATTAGAATCACCTGGGAATCTTTTTAAAATCCTGATTTCTGGGCCTCATCCTCCAGAAATTCTGTTTCTTTGTTATGGGGTGGGGCCACAACATTAGTAACAAAGAAACAGAATTTCCGGAGGATGAGGCCCAGAAATCAGGATTTTAAAAAGATTCCCAGGTGATTCTAATGTGCAGCCAAGGTTGAGAAACACTGTCTTAGTGCATGGCAAATACATAATTAATTACAAATGTGACCAATAAAACTGTGCTTACAGAGATTCTTTGGTGTGTTTTTTTTCCTTTGACACTCATCTCGAAAGCATTTTGTACATGAACTCAGACTATAGCACAAGTACTGTGATCAGACCACTTGGTTTCAGATACTAACTCTTCTACTTACTACATAAGCAAACCGGTAAATAACTTGACTTCTCTGTGCCTCAATTTACAAATAAGTTAATAGTAGAACCTGTATCATAGAGTTGTGACAATCACAATAATTCATGTCAAATCCCTTGGAAACAGTACTTGGAATATAAATAAGTATGATTAAAAACATCAAATATAAAATGAGTCTCATATTAATCTTCTATTAAGAGATCCCAATGAATCCAAAAAAATTTACTAGAGAATAGGAAGTGCTGATAAAATTTAAGAGAATCTAGAAATTAATGGTAACACTTTGAACTATGTTCCTGATGTTAGTCTTAATGTACATTTGGTATGTTTATGGTTTCTACCTTTTTTCCCCCTGAAGACAGAAATATTTTCATTGATTAAGTCACATTATTTTTCACATCAGAATCTCAGGTCACATGAAAGTCTTATAAAATACTTGGAGAACTTTCTGGATATCCTCCATTCGCCTCTTGAGTTCTCCTTATCCCCACTCTGTGCCTTGGGCGGCAGAGCTCAGATGAACAGCATCATCAGGGTAGACTGGGCCTGTGGCTTCCAGCAAATTCAGCCGCTGGGAGGTGCGAGCAGTGATCAGAAGGTGACCGGGAGAGTGCACAGAGTGTTTATTCCCCTGGCTCTCTGTCTACCACGCTGGTCTTTTCTCTCTCGGGCCACAAAAGTGTCATTAAACACCCTTCTCTGGACCCCTTAGGCAGAAGGGTAATAACAGCTCCCCAAAGCATATATCACCTCCTCTTTTTTTCTTCCTTAAATCCTTAACAAAATTTCATCCACAGCCCCCTTTTTGCTTCCTTTAATCCTTATCAAAAGTTCGTAAACAGCATCTTTATGAATTGCCCCTAGAATACCCCTGAGAGCCATTTGTTTCCCTCGGTTGCAGAGATCAATGATGGATCCAGTGAGACACTGAAACAAAAGAGAACATTGCAATTTTGCAGACTGTTGGGGTTTGCAGACTGTAAATTACTGAGAGATGACCTTTAGCCAGAAGAACAAATGACCAATGATAATTAAAGTATCAAATTTCTCAATACCAGTGCAATAGGCGCAGGATGTGGCAGAAATAGCCATCTATCTACTAAATAATTCATGCTTCCCTTCTAGAGTGAAGTTGTCACAGAAAGCTTGCCAGCCAGGCAAAAGTTACATTTATCGGGCCGAGCCTTAGATCCAAACACAGGTGTTCCATTAGTGCATGTGGAGGTGATATGTTGCTTCTAGGTTACGGCTTTCAAGATGTGGATTTGCCACCTTCTTGTCTCCTTTCCATGGCTAGAAGTAGAAGACAGAAGGCATCTGGGTTCCATTTGAATGAAAACTACCGAGTAACCAGGCTTACTGAAGCTAGAATGTTATGTGAGCAAGAAATAAGCTTGCATTGTGTTAAACTGATATTTTGAGATTTACTTCTCACAGCAACTGCATTAACCTAATAGTGTGTAAATTTATTTCAGGGATGCAATCCCTTCCTAGCTTTCTTTTTTAAAAATATATTTTTATTGATTTTTTACAGAGAGGAAGGGAGAGTGATAGTTAGGAACATCAATGAGAGAGAAACATCGATCAGCTGCCTCCTGCACACTCCCTACTGGGGATGTGCCCACAACCAAGGTACATGCCCTTGACCGGAATCGAACCTGGGACCCTTCAGTCTGCAGGCCGACACTCTATCCACTGAGCCAAACCAGTTAGGGCTCTTCCTAGCTTTCTTATTTAAGGATACACAGTGACCAACAACACTCCTTACACCCTGGATTGCCCAAACTGAGCTACATTTGTATCTTTGCTATCCACGTCATTCCCATGCTTTGTGTCCTATAACAAATATAAGTACATTTTTTTTGCATTTCTTTTCATTTAACAGTAATTCAGTGCTATCACCTGAAACATCTGCTACATCTTAGGAACCAGGCCAATCGCAGGTTCTATCAGTGGCCATTTGAGTTCAGTTCCTTTCTCATTTCCTTCTTTAGCAAGTCGTGCTTTGGATTAAACTTCATAAACTTCTACTTTCTGGATGAAGATGCATTATTCTATTCCTTAAACCCCAACAGATTTTCCCACCGGTGTGTAAAAATAGCCAATTTCAGTTCTTTCACCAATCTGCTCCTGACGACAAAAGCAGTTATTTGTCTTAGCTTCTCGTGCGGACTGCCTCACCTATCAAAGCCCTTCCGACATGCAGGATGAAGATCTCTATACCTCCCTTCAATGGGACACTCCAACTCCACACCCTTCCCAGAAACATCAGTCTTCCACCAAATGTTCAGGTAACCAGTTCTAATTATTTGGTCCAAGACTGTGCAGTGTATGTTTTGTTTCCCATTACATATTGAGCCCAGGTGAATTTTCTAATGAGGTAACCCATTTTAGAATATGATAATGTGCAGGCTATGCTAACATTAAAAAATGAAATAGCCTGGCCGGAGTGGCTCAGTGGTTGAGCATCGACCTATGATCCAGGAGATCATGGTTAGATTCCTGGTCAGGGCATGTGCCTGGGTTGCAGACTCTATCCCCAGTGTGGGGTGTGCAGGAGCCAGCTGATCAATGATGCTCTCTTATCATTGATGTTTCTATCTCTCCTCCCTCTCCCTTCCTCTCTGAGATCCATAAAATTTTTAAAAATGAAATAAAGAATAGCAGTAGTAAGTAAAGATGAAGTGAAAAGAGCAATGGACTTGACAAATGTGTAGTTCTGTCTCTCTCTCTCTCCCCAAAGAATTCCTGGATTTGGAAAATAAGTGAAAAAAAATCATATTTTTTATTATTTCAGTTTCTGCATAAATACTCCTTTGCAAATTGTCTGACAAATATTAAGAAATAAAGGGAAAATGGACATTGAAAAACTGGTCAAATCTCATCAGCCTGGAGCTATCTGCTATAGTAATCAGTTCTGTCTTTATTAAGTTTAGTATTTATATTAGTTTCCTATTATTGATGTAACAAATTACCACAGACCCAGGGGCTTAATACAACACAAATTTATTAACTTACAGGACTAGAGACCAGAAGTCTGAACTGGGTCTTACTGGGCTGCATTCCCTCTAGAGCAGTGGTTCTCAACCTTGGCTGCACATTAGAATCACGGGGGAATCTTTTTAAAATCCTGATTTCTGGGCCTTATCCTCAGGAAATTCTGTTTCTTTGTTATGAGGTGGGGCCACAACATTAGTAACAAAGAAACAGAATTTCCAGAGGATGAGGCCCAGAAATCAGGATTTTAAAAAGATTCCCAGGTGATTCTAATGTGCAGCCAAGGTTGAGAACCACTGCTCTAGAGGCTCCAGGGGACAATCCCTTCCCTTGTTCTTTCCCAGTTCGAGAGCTGCATGTCCATGGCTCCTGGCTTCTTCCTCACTCTTCAGAGCCAGCAGCACCATGTCTGCTCCCATCATCGTACTGCACTCTGTCCCTTTGATCACCTACCTCTCACTTACAAGAGCCCAGATGGAGGAACAGAATATCCTCTCTGTCCTACATTTGTTAACTTAATTACATCTTCAGTCTCCTTTGCCACATTAGGTAACATTTACAGGTTCCAGGGATTAGAACACAGGTATCTTGGGCTGGTACAGTATTCCGCTTACCCCACTATACAAAGATAAATGTTGTCTATTTTTCTCTGATTAGTGTTGAGAATACAACCAGTTACAAAATCTTCATTCCCCCCCCCTAAATAGTTGCAAAATTACCTCTGGGAAAAATGTTCCTCATCCAAAACTATATGTTTAAAAAGAAATGTCTTCGGCCCTGGCTGGTTTTGGCTCATGGATAGAGTGTTGCCCTGCCGACTGAAGGGTCCTGAGTTCGATTCCAGTCAAGGGCACATGCCCAGGTTGTGGGCCTGATTCCCAGTGGGCAGCTGATCAATGATTCTCTCACAATATTGATGTTTCTATCTCTCTCTCATTTCCTCTCTGAAAGCAATAATATATATATATATATATATAGTCTTTGAACCAATCATGTTCAAGTGACACTAAAAAGAGATGAGGAGATGCATAGTACTTTTGCTTTCAAAAATAAAAGCTTGCTTCCTGATCTGCTACAATCTCAAAAATATTTTGGGAAAGAATACATATAACTAGTTAGTAAGTTTGTGGCATCATATACACATATAAAGGTAAAAGAAGTATGTTATTAAAAATGTCAGTTCAATTTGACATTTTTGCAATCAAATGTATTCCAAGTTACAACTTGCATTTCAAAGAGTTTGAGTTCTCTTTTTACTGTTACAGTTACATGGTGTCAAAAATTCTGTGGTTGAAATGCCTAAGGTTAATTCCTTCTTTCACTCAGTCTAGTTTTATCCTGGCCCAACCCTTTCACCTACTTTTTCTAACTCAACTTTATTGTCCCTATTCCTTGTTTAGGAACATGGTGTCTTATGATGGTGATATCATGTATTTTCTGCGTGGGCTCATTAACTGCCTCCATTTTCTTGGGTATTAAGTGTAAGTACAAAAGGATATCTTTTAAAAAATCTGTATGTATTATATACGATATGTCATTTAACATACAATTACATCTGTATATTATAATAAATAAAACTTCATAATTTACAAATGGATAAATAAATCAACTGCAAACATATAAATGACAAAAATAATAACATCCTAATGTAACTTTTAAAACATTGATTTAATATAACAATCTAAGCACTTGGATGTTGTTATAACTTTTAATATTCAATGGCATGGTGTTTAACTCAAATCTAATGGTGAGTATTTTTGGGAAAAAGAATGTAAATAATTACTTATGTGAATTGTGTTAACATTGAAAAATTTCAGTAAATGCTCTATGTATTCTAATATGCATTTATTCTAAACTTTACTTGTGCAGATTATTTTAATAAGAGTTCACTTTATTTTAGACAAGGAGCAATTTAATATTTAACGCAAGCCTGAGAACTTTATTTGGGCCATATTTAATCACATTTATTTATTTCTTTTACTCCAAATGTGAGATGTTTCCACCTCTAGCAAGTGAATTTTTTATGAAATATAATAATTACAGGGCTGCAAGTTCCACAAAAATGACTAAGAAAATTTATTATCACTCATGCTACCTCCAAGAAATATGCTGAGACAAAGATGAAGTTATTGTCGAGATAATTTTTCTCTCTTGCGTGCTTTGGCAAATCATTTCTCTCCCTCGGAGGCATTAGCTGGTTACTGAGAATTATGAGTTCTGAAATGAGGAAGAGAAGGGTTCAGGTTTGCTTCTAGCAAGTACAGGAAACTTGACCTGAATCATGTTACCTATGAATTCGTTTCCCTGGTGGTTCTGAAAGGAATGCTTTAGTAATTACTCAAAAAGTAATTGTTACTGTGTCTATCTCCTCAAATAAAATTTCACAGCCTAGCATAATTATTAGAACTAGAACTTCCAGAAAGCTTTTATCTCATCCCATCCTCTCTCTGTGCTTTATTAAATATGTATATAATATTTAATTTATTTAAATATATATATACACATTTAAATAAATATATTTAAATCAAATGCCAGTCTATTTTTTTAAGAAACTCACATTTAAATATTTGTTAATCTAGAAGATATAATGGAAGTAGATTTGTAGAGTTGAAAGAGAACTAACAGATAAGTTAATTAAAATACTAATCTAGTTTCTTCTGTAAAAACTGGGAACTTTGAATGGAATATGGGCCAAGTTTTAGTTTTATTCTAACTATAAGAATCCATATTTTTTTAAAATAGGCCATATTTAACTGACATGCAAATATCAAAAGCTATGG